TGCCTTGGGCCTCCACTCGCAGCAACCTCCTCGTGGTGAGGCCTGGGCAATCGGTATTGTCATCAGTGAAATACTGTAAACTGAAGACAATATCGAGCTAATGGCTGCGAACTTCAAATTTATCTCTTAAAACCACGTTCTATATTACATCGAACTAGGATTATTTTAGAAATCGATATAAGATTCAAAGTGTTCTAAAAATGTCTAGTACTTTGAATGTTTTAGAAAATTATTCGAGATAATGATGTATGGAATTACTGAAAATTACTTTAGATTCCTTTTCCTTTTTCTGTAAATTCTTTGATTGGAATGTGAATGCTGCTGGAAGTATGAACATTTTCACAGGACAATGATAGAAATGGAACTTTAAAACTTTCTTAAGTGTTACAATGATATTTCGTTATATGTTCCATAATGTCTATAATATTGATTTCCCCGCAACATCCATAATTATTACAAATGTCAATATAACGAAATATCTTTTATGCAATGTTTGTGGTGTAATAAAGATTTGTGTTTCGATTACGTTTTTGATACATATTACTCATTTATATGTAACAATACATAATAAAAATATACTCTTATTCCGAAATTTGAAAATATAATATTAATTTCCGTAGTTATAAGAATGAATGTAAGATCGAATATTTTTGGTGATTGTTCTATCTCACATGAAACTTAGAATATTTTAAGGCTATACATATATACGACAGAAAATCTTCGTTTATTATATGGATACGTAAAATAAAAATTTGTGTTTCAATTACTTTTTTGATAAATATTACTCACTTATGTGTGATAATGCAGAATAGAAGTATACTATTTGTATTTGAAAACATATAAACCTTTGTTGTCACTGTTCAATTGTTGTATTAACAATGGAAGGATATTGTATTTTAATTAAATTTACATAATAATATTAGAGTGTTCATAATAGCAATATTAATCGTTATTACTATCTTATACTCGACAAAATAAAATAATAGGTCTGACATTGAGCACTCAAGTTACTGGACCATTTTTTATAATGCACGTATGATTGAATAGTAGATTCATTTATTCTTCTTTATTGAAAACAATGTAATTAAAAGTGTCAATAAAATTGTACCATATAAAATGATTAATAACTAAATTTGCTTAGTTATCTTATTTATGTATAAAAGTGTAGAATAGCACGGGTTAGTGATTGCAACAAATAATGTGCTGGACAGCAGAGTGGGGTGCGCGCACGTGAGAGAAAAATACGTGAGAACGTATGGTGTTCTTAGACAACAATAAAATAGCGTGCAATAAAATAACCTAAAATAAAGGAGCTCTTACTGTATGACTTTATACCTAACCTGTATGCAACAACATTATTTCAATTGCTCCTTGTTAATAAGTTATTAAGATATCTGACCATTGAATATTATAAAACAGATCAGGAGCAATTTTTTTGTACCATAATATTTATGTAAAAAGACCATTTACTATCTATTCTGCAGACAAATAATTTTGTTTTTTCATTAACCCTCTACAGTCCCGACTCGTGCGGGAATCGAATGTCTACTGTACTAATATTCCGCGCCATCTGATTCTTCGGTGGTAGTATTTATCAGAAGAAGGTAAGCTGCCGTATGAATTTCTATGGTACCGTCTCTCGATATAGATTCATTACCGACAATCAGTAAGTCTTTCCACCGCTATACTTTTTCAATAAATAAACAGAAGATCCCAAATATTCGTATATGTTATTATTTATACGTAAATGAAGCTCAGTCATAAAAAACCGATCACCTACATACACCCTTATTATTTAATCGTATACTCTCTAAAACTAAAAGAAATCTGAATATTCAATACATTAATACTTGTATTGAATGTCAAATTCACATAGCGTACAATTATATTTGTTGGAATATTTTATAATGATTTTGGCGAAGTTACTATCATGATAACCACGAACCTGATGCACCCGTTGATTTCTGCTTCGCTTTCTTCGTGTCTTTCCAATGCAGCGTGACGCCTTGCTGCCTGTCCCTTCGAGTCTGACTTAGAAGTGTAGGTCGTGTCTTCGCCTGTGCGGTACCAGAAGGTAGACTCAGAGGTCGATTCTTCCCGCTCACGAGCGCATTTTTGCCCACTAAAAGATGATTCATGGCCTGAGAAGTAGGAGGTGGTACCATGGTCTGCCTTGCACATGCAGCTGCGTCAAGAAAGAATTTATGCATTTTTGCTCTCGTCCTATTTTAAGCGAATGTACATTCACAGCAATTTATACTGACATTCATATATCGATGGAACAAAGATTCATGAAGCTATGATTTGACTTGGCTTCCTAACCGAATATTTCGCTCAATTTTCGAAATCATTACTCGTTTTTAAATAATTAATAAAGCAATCAGCGCATTTCAAGCGGTTTCTGTACCCTTACAGCAGGAAGACTGATATGATTGTGAAAATGAACAATTACCAGATAGTATAATGTGTGCCTGTCGTTGCCGCTCCCGTAGCTTGGCGTACTGCTGTTTCAATGTACTAATATCCAAAGCAAGCCTTTCTCGATCGCTGCTGGGCGCCATTGCCTGCAGTGCGCCAATCGTCTGGGGTATACGATCTACAAGCACGTCTGTCGTGACACGAGCACAAACACAAATGACATCGTGAGAACACCATTGTTAACACATCGAGACAAGCGTATTTTTAGCTTTCTTTACCTTTCTTCAAACGCTGTGCCATACTGAACATCGCAGCAGCGACGGCTAACCTTTCATCCTCCTCCGTATCGCTGTCCTCATCGTCGCTCAGTTTTCTTGCCCACGGAGTGATATTGTATCGGTGCTTCTCCCTTAAACCCGTCACACCTTGCAACGGTCCCATACTGACTATATTCTACGCATGTAAATAATTTCGTTCGAATACAGAGCTGAACGAATTAACATAATACGTTAAACGGATTATGCGCTTTCAACCGTGTACTGCACTATCAAAGTGACACGCGTTGTATCAAATAATTATCATGTTCCGTAAATTGTAACGGTAAACCGATTAAATTGCTAATTATTTTACGCCATAGTATGCATATTACATAGCTGCTGAAGTTTCATCAATTCAATTACAAGCACGCCACGAAATGAATTTTTAAGCAGAACATTGCGAACCTTAATAAGATTATTCGTGTCCGTGAATTCCAGCATCTCTCTAGTTAGGACGCCCATTATGCTGTAGAACTCGTCAGCCGATGTCACGGTCATGATACGACTATAGGAAAACATTTACATGCAATGTATAGTTATACTATTAAAATTTTGAAGACATCGTAGAAATTTAAAGAATCGAAGGAATCTGTAATACGCACCAATGAGTAATCGAATATTTTTACTTCATTCCGTTTTAATTTCCGAGAGAACCACAAATCATATTACGCTATTTTTAGCAAGCACAACGCCGAGAAGCGTACATCGAATTCCAATAACATCGCCGTTTTACTACTCATTGGTATATTTATATGTACAAAGCATGAAATTTACACCTACTCCGATAATCCTTCCCAGATCGTTAAAGCGGTTCTAAGGAGAATTTCGTCCCCCTCGAGAAATATCAAGTCCCAGACTCGAAGGACCGCTTCTTGAGGTAAACAGTGGCAAAATAGTGTAAGGAACCATTGCATCGTGAACACATTCGTCAGGGGTGGCTCGTAACTGCTGCCTAAATGAGAAGTTGGATCAATAACTGAATCATCCATGCTAACAGTTTGAGAGTATGCAGGCTGAGGAATAAATTCGTTCAAATTTTTCTGGCAGAACGTCGGCTTATATTATATTCATATAAGCTGTTTCTCAAACATACACGTTTCCGCTTTTATGTTTCATTGATGTGTTTAGGTATCTCATAACTTCATTCGCATGAAATCCATAAAGAGTAGGCTCAGCGGGATTGCAATTTCCAATTGATAATTTAGAACGTATCACTCTATTATACCAATTAAAAGTCGTATCTCAGCTGAAAACACATGTCACGCATTTCCATGAATATTAAAAAGAATCACAGATCAGATGAACCGTGAGCATAGAGAGAACTGAAAAATCCCAAATATATGTTTTTTTCCGAAACAAGGGTTTATTGTACCATTATCTTGGAAGATAACAATTTCTCCGTTCTTTGTTTTATGTATTACATCTCTCTACTTTGATGTTTCTTTGTACCATCTGTGAATGTACGGACTTCAATCAGATTTTATTCAAAACAGTGGCTCCACTAACTAAGGGATCTAGTGCAACAGGGAGCTATTCAACACCAGTATCGTTGTGAGATATTAAAGTTTTTATGACATGTAGTGTACATCATAGTACAGGCAGAAATTTTGTCACGTAGTTATAAGTTAAGGAAAAATATTTCGGCACCAAAAGATTTCAAAATCTCATTTTTCAACATTTTATAGTATAGCTACCATTTGCATTGAACCTGTGAAATCATTCAAAGTTCTCTACTCCCATCAATCCTCAAGTACGTGACAAATAAACGAAGTGATCAAGATCCAACAATGTTTCCATCGAGTCCATTAAACTAGACCACGTGTTCCCGGAAACGTACACGTGTATACCCTAAAAATCAAAACCATTCCTCTTCCCAAACACGCGTAAAACCAATTACAGAAGAACTTGCTCGAGAAAGAATAACCTGTCGCCTTGTCCTTCGCGTCGTTTTGCAGCGCCTCCAGGTGTTTCGAAAGCTTGGGCAACCTGACCCGCAGGAGGTCACGAAATACCGCCATGTCGACGGACAGGCCGCGGAGATTGTCCGCGAAATATCCCTCCGGCAGGACACCTTCTATCAAGTAGATCATCACCTTCACCGCGGCGGACTCGGCCCGATCCATAACTTGCAGAACGAGGGCGGCGAGCACGTTCAGGCCTTGGCAATAGCCGACGGACTTGTTCCATCGAGCGAAACCGAGCAGAACCCGACGTAGCACCGCCTGATTATCTCTGCCAGCTGCGCCGCAGAATAGGCTGCAGCCTGTCCTGTGTAAATCCTGAAAGGGTCAGACCAACAACGATGATAACGGATTCGTGGTCCCCGTCGTTGGAATCCCCCGGCCGAAATTTCGGATCACCGAAACACATTGGGCAGTGAACGCAGCCTAAAGTGAACCAGACAACGTGCGAACGGGTTTCTCGGTTGCGACTTCTGCGTCTGTGCCGCGTTTAAAGGTCATTCCTTCGTCGCGCGCGACCCACCTAATTGGAAGGCTCATCGGCGACGCTTAATTGCCCGGCGTCGAAGTGATTAATGATCGAAATTTAATTGCGTGTAATTATACTCCGAACGAAGAACCAGCTCGAAGCCGCGATACACAACCGTCGAAGGGTCCTCGGAGTCGCAATTGCGTCACGCGGCCAATTTTTCACCGACTGGTTGTGCAAGAGGAGGCGTATTGAGTTCAGCGGGGTGCTGTTTCGGTCGAACGAAATCGTCCCGAAATCCCACCCATATGATGCGATACTTTTTAAGACTTCTCGGGGAGGTGAAACGTTAAAAGAATTTACAATTAAACGGTCCATTGGTTGTGATTCGTGCGATGAACGTGTGAGAAATGTTTGTCGCCATAGTTTTGCGATGGAAATTGATACGGGACTTTTCTTTAATTATTATATTGAGATACAGGAATAATTTATGTATATTTTTTTAGATCATTAGTAGACTGTAGACTTTATGCATTTATCAGATATACGATTGTTTGAAACTCGGCGAATTAAAAAGTTCAGTAAATTTTAATGAAGATTTCATATTACTGGGATCCTGACAGATTCCTTAATAAGATAAGTATGATTCTATTTAACCGCGTTTTCTATAAATTACTTCTAAAAAATCTGTATTTGTGTAAACTTTTGCAGTCCTAGTTAATACTTAACGAGTTTTAGCAATTATTCTGTATTCATAGAGAATGAAGAAACTTACAAATATAGTAACTTCTTAACCTTTTGACTGCAAAAAACGCGTATAAGCGTTCTTTATTTGTTATAACAAGAAACTCGAAAATGACCATTTTTCAATCCGCCGTTCTTTTGCATCCATCGCACGCTTACTCTGACAACTATAGTTGTTACATTTTATAAAATTTATACAAATTATTAACAAAGAGCATCGCATACAGCGAGCGTCCTGCTTCCGAGTGATTTTCAGTCTAACAATAAGAATTAAAACAGACTAAATAGAAATTGAATGTCACGAAACAATTTACGTACTTCACAACTCTTGTTCAACTCGTTGTACATAGTTTCTCGGTAAAAACAAAATCTTTTCCCTCTGCCCAATTCAAATTTCTTATACAGATTTTACATAGCCACATAATACTTCAATTTTTACCGTATCAAGTACAGTTCGAGTGGACCTTCAGAAGACGTCAACGAGGATGAGATAGGATAAACTCATGATTGGATTAGAATCTACGTGAAAGTTACGAGTGTTACCGATACACAAGGGGGACTATTGTAAAAAAAAGAATGTACATTCTTACTTTAACGATTTGTATACCGAGCTCTTCATCGTCAGGGTTGCTCCATTCGTTAAAGCAGACCTTTTCAGCCTGCTTCCAATCTACGCCGCGCTGCTCCAGATGACGTTCCGCCAGTGTCAACCATAACTGTGAAACATTTCGGATATGAGGATACACGTTGCTTCTTTTTCTTTTTTTCAATGGAACAAGAACGTTCGCAGGATAACGAGAATTTTCTACCTTCTTCCGAAACTCCGGCGGTATGCCTCCCTGCAACCTGGCCACCATTTTCATCGCGTCCAGCCATTGTATGAAACCACTTTCTCCGGGCTGCGGCGTCAGGCTAAACCTCATCTTCGTGTCTTCGACTGTAAATATAATAAATACGACGAGTTAAGGCAACGAAGAGTTTAATGAAACATTGACTGAAACTGGTAGCATCCTGGAAACAGTTAACAATACAAATCGTGATTTGTTACGATCCAGTGAAATTCATTTCGCTTGTCCCGCTGGAGTAAACTAATTAATACTTCAAGAAGGTCCTGTTACTCGAGGAACTTGTTTATCAAAATAGTTTAAGTAGATTAAATTAATGTCAACTTGTTGATTTATTCAAACAGATTGAAATTTCAAATGTATCGAATTTGTGTTAAGTCTAAATTATTAAATGAGAAAATCATTATTTTTGAGGAAAATGACTTGTATAGTTGATTAAATTTCGAAATTTAATCTATTTTGTCTTCCTAGATGAGTTACTAAGTGGGTGATAACAATATTGGAAAATGAGAAAATGAAAGTTATATTTGTCGAATCCGACTTTGACCGAAGTATTTATTATGGTTACTAAAGATTGATTTCGAATAATCGTAAAGAACGGAAATAGCGAACGTCACGGTTCCGTTGAACAAACAGAAACATCGGCGTGTGTCTAATCAAATCGTAATGTCAAAGTTTTTCGATAAAATTTTTCACTCATTGGAGCATCGAATAAATGACGAAAGTATACATATATGTACTTACATAGGTGTTTAAACCGAATCAAACGCTTCGATATTCACGGTACCCGAAGCTCACTAATGCGTTTATCGGGAACAGTTTTATCGTTTTTAATAACCGAAACTTAATTAGCTGTTTTGAATCGTTGAATCGGATGTGTAACAACTTCTATATTGACTATCTAAACGCATAATATCGACAGTTCCTTCGAACGAGGGTATTTAAACAATGCCTTCACTCTAATGTCAAACCAACAATTTCTTCATTTCTCCTCCTGTCTGCTGCATTTCACTTTTATGGATTATATTTATGTACTAATTAGGTCAATGTAGAATGAACAGCTGCATATGATCGCACGACTCCAAAAGAATAAGAGTTTTTATTTAATAACGTGTATAGTATAGTACTTGCCAGAAGTTTGATCCAGATTTGTTCACTGAAAGACTTCCAACATTTAGGCGTTACAAGTGTATGAAATTAATTAATGCAATGTAATGAATTGATGAGTGTATAAGTAGTACATTCACTTGTAACCGTTTCACTCTAACGAAAATACAATTGTAGAGAAAGACTATTGACAATATTCATATACTTACATATACATTTTTATGTATAAGATCACATAGTTATGTACAACATCGTTTAATAAATTATATTAAGTATTACTAAATGACACTAGAAGTGGTTGGTTGAATAACGTTTTGCGAATTGTATGATGTACTATATAAAATGTTTGAATTATTGTTTCCAATAAACATAAAAACATGCAATATTTGTGCCGTACCAAAATAAAGGATCTCTCCTATTATTTAACACGTCACAATGAAACAGTATTAGCTCATTAAAATGATAATGCTCATTTTGATAGACGAACACAGATAGCTGCATCTAGACGCGGCACAATTATCATGCAATTTCTTTAGAAGCAGTATTCAACAGCAATTTGGCTGTATACTACCCAGTTCATTACCCACGTACCTACTATTCCGCTTCAGCGAGCTGAAGTGCACACTTCGCCCCGTCATAAATTTTACAATTCCGTCGGAATAACGTAAACTCATGGTACCTCTATCAGAGTGCATTACAAATACAACGAAAATTGGTTTCCATTATCATTTTGTTGTCCGAGGATCCACCGCGCGGATTTTGTAACTTTGGTCAACTATGTAGATTGCGTCACGAAAAGAATTTCTTCTTTTAAATTTTCATTCGTTAAAGAAAGTTTCACCTCCATTACCTTCGCAAAAGTTTCGTTTACTGCAACGTTCATGGTGTTTCTAAAGAAAGCACAGTGAAACGCGTACTCATTTTCTTGTTATAACAAATAAACAAAAAAAGCATGTCAAACAAATTTTATCTTAAAAAATGAATAGATCTTGACAAATTTTTAAATACGCATTCCTGAGTTTCAGTGAAAGAAGTCTCATTCTCATTTGCAAACTGCTGCTTTTTACTCGTCCTATGTTCATGAATATGCACGAGGTCATGGAACACAAACATTCTAGTAATACATTGACTTACAATACTTTAGATTAACATGCATTAATTCAAGAACATGCAAAGTTCTGCCTAGTTGATCGGAGACACTCAAACAGATTTTAATGTATTCCAAGTCTTCCAGTAACTCGAACACTTCTGGAATTTTTTGTAATTGCGAGCGATATTTCATGTCAAAGATGGATATTATCCTTTCAAAAAAATTGAATCAGAAGACAAAATAAATCATCGTTGGAGTTTTCAATGAAATACACTAGATTATATCACAAACATTGTGAGTTGTTTTTTCGTGAATTGTAGCGAGAAACGACACAAAAGTTTGCAACTACGAAAAATATACTAAAAATTGAAGTTCAATGGTCTTAATAAACCTATTACTTCATTTTTCTCGCAATGGAACCATTAATTGAGAACGGAAATATTCGTTTAATTCTCGGTGCTTTGAATAGTTCGGCAAAAATTGAAATTTTACATAAACTTTGCAGTCTATTAATGCATAATTCATCATTTCTACAACCTTTTTTCATCTCAATTTCAAATTAACAAATACACAACTACAAAATTCTTTGATGTTTATAAAGTAGGCGAATCGATACATATGAGATTCACATAAATTCCTTTCCATTAAATAGATTTATTAAAAAGAGTAAGGATAACGTTTATAACTCGCCTCTCGCTATTCTAGAGGCGCCACATTGAGTCTCCGCGCAACGACAATATCTTCCCAATATCGTGACAAAGCGTTTCCGAAAGTGCTTATGATTGGTCACGACACTTGAATGATCGCGACTGTCAATCCAACATAATTGGCTGCCGGACAGTCGAAGACCTCCTACGGAACACCTTCGTTTCCCACTAAATCCTCTTAGCCTCTACGAACCTCAAGTTCGTCCGATGAACGTATAGCCAACTGAAATTCTACCGAAACCGAATTAAAAGATCGTATCTTACGAGCCATTCTTCGGGCAGCTAGGGGATCTTCTCGCACACACATACACACACACACACAGTACGAACAAATTGCTTCGTGCAAGTGAACAAAGTAAAATTGGGCAACGTCTCCAATTGGAAGCGGGTTACGGTTAACGTGCAATGGGAGGGTGGGTGTAGGGTTCAAGGATTGGAAATAATTGTTTCACCTTCCAGTTCTTCGTACTTCGAACCAGAGCTGGCAGCGTAGGCGGCTCCCGACGCGAAGTTCTTGAGGGAGTTGAAAAATCCGCTCATTCTCCAATTAGGAACGCCACTCTTCTTTCTTCTTCATCGTCGTCACTTTCACCTCTCCCGCCTCTTGTTGCACTGCGTACAGCCGCCTTTCAACCGTTTTCGTGATTCATCATCCGTCGTCGTTGCGCTCAGTTTCACGAGATCGTGCCCGACTGTTCCGCGTTGCGATGCTTCGGTCGCGCGAGACGCATTTTTATCGCGTGTCTGAAATTCAGACCGTTCCCTGTGTTCACGTCTGTGGAAATCGTGTTACGAACGTTTGTTTCGAACGGAAAGGGTTTGGCTGTAAATCACACAGGTTGCGTTCCAGTTTCGAAGGAAATTGATGAGCACGTGATTGATACAGACACATGGCGAAGTTCGGATTATTCGGGATATTAGGGTATTCTAAATAAAAGTGGATTAAAGGTTAGAGAAAGACGAGATTTAAATGTGAATATCACGGAACTGGATATCTAAATATTTATGAGAATGAACGATTTGTGGCATTTACTTGTGAAGAATTTGAAATCGGTCACCAGTTTTTGAAATTTGTGTCACGTAAGTGCAATGGTGGAAATTTAAAAATATGGTCTGTGTGTGATATGAAACTGAAATAATTGAGACACTCGTAAAAATGTCGAATATATTCTACCACGTCTGAGTACATTCATAAATATTTTTCTTTTCGAAAGTCCTCATAGACAATTTTGGTAGTATTCGTAATGTATCTGAGCGCAGTACGAGTTATCAAAATTCAATAGGTAACACTTATGCTACTATGAAGAAATAAGAATTCTAAATGACACTTGATCTTTAACAAACATCACGTTTCCTGGAGAGGCACCAGATGTCTTGATATTTGTAAGCGGGTGTGTACGGGTGTATGGGAACACTGAAATTATTGTATGTATAGATTTAGAAGTCTATATACACTAATAGAGTTGAGAATTCGTAGTTGCGAAACTTTTTGGGAATTTAATTATTCGGACATTTGTATATGTTTCGATTTTCTTCCGTTTCATACTAATATACGCAAGGAAGAATAGGAACTATCTGAACAATTGGAGTTTCGTATAAAGGACACCCACTGTTCTAATTCTGCATTAGTAAAGAAGGAAAACAACAAAAGTGTTATATTTTTGAAACATAAATATAGTCATTCATTATGAAGTTTTAATTTCTGTTAGAGGGAATCTACGCTCATTATATAAAAATAACCGACCGCTTTAAGTTGTTAACAACAACCGTTAGCGCAGCCCCTCCACACTTTCTTAACCCTGTCCGTGCAGACGTACCACCTGTTACGAGACACGTAATGTGGCGTTTGTGCAACGTATGCGATCGATTTTGCGAAGAAATCCACGCTTCCGACAGCGGTATACGTTGATCGGTTATCGGTAGCTCAATGGAAAATTTATGACGCACGGGGGGTGTAATGTTTCTCCTGCGAAAATCTCGGCTTTCAACCCTCGGATCACTTATAAAGAAACATCCAATAGATGTCAATATCGAACTAACAAAACGACAAGACTCAATAAAGTATCAAATATCCAGGAAAGAAAGTTACTTAAAAAAGAATTCTATAATAATCAACGACGAATTATTTAATACACACAAAACTTCAGACATTCTACCAGTAAATAAAAATAATAGCAATATGAAAAAT